CCCGGGTGCACGTTCAAAGATAGATAAATCTAAGATTTACATCTTTTGAATCAAGCCCACTCGCAATCAGGAAAAACTAAACTTATTAAGATAATTACGACAAACGTAGGATATCTTAGGTCAGGATTCGACTATTACCTGTCGCGATTCGGCCAGGAAATGTTTCCAATTGCCACACGCAGTTTCCAAGTACATCTTGAGAAGCTCTATCAGATTGAAACGATTAGTTTTCGAAAATCCCCTTCTATTCAGCCAGAAAACCTGAATTACTGCAAAAAACACGTGCAAAATGCAATAAACAATCGTAGAACCTGTCGCGATTCGGCCAGGAGAAGTTTCCAAGTGAGGCGTTGTGGTTTCAGACAGAACTCGACCTGCTCTATCGAATGTACGTCTCAGTTTTTTCAAATATTGCCTCCTTTTACCTAAATCAGGCCTAAAACCTGCATTTAGCAGAAGGTTTTAGCAAAAACCGTCGCGATTCGGCCAGGAGAAGTTTCCAAGTGAACCGCTCCGGTTCCAGGTACAACTCAACGTGCTCTATCGAATGTACGTCTCAGTTTTTTCATATATTGCTTCCTTTGGCCTAAATCACGCCTAAGACCTGCATTTTGCAGATGGTTTTAGCAAAACCAGTCCCAATACGGCCAGGAATAGTTTCGAATTGGCAAGTGCAGTTTACAAATACATCTCGACAAGCCCTATCTTCTCGCATAATTTTTATTCGAAAATACTTCTACTATGTGGACCAGAAGTCTGAATTACTGTTTCATCAACACAGAAAATTCATTTGCTAATCCTAAAAATCGTCGCGATTCGGCCAGGAGAAGTTTCCAAGTGGACCGCTCCGGTTCCAAGTACAACTCAACGTGGTCTATCGAATGTACGTCTCAGTTTTTTCGTATATTGCTTCCTTTGGCCTAAATCACGCCTAAAACCTGCGTTTAGCAGAAGGTTTTAGCAAAAACCGTCGAGATTCGGCCAGGAAACGTTTCCAAGTGTAGCACTGCGGTTCCAGATAGAACTCAACGTGCTGTATCGAATGTACGTCTTGGTTTTTTCATATATTGCTTCCTTCGAACTAAATTAGACCTAAAACCTTCCTTTAGCATAGGGTTTTAGTTAAAGGATATATCTTTTCCCAGTTCTGATTGCATTAAAAGAGATATATAAGTGCCATTTTATAAATTTATTGAACTAATATTATATTTGAAAAATACAGAAAAGTGGCAAGTACTATCTCACATATTAAAAGACAACAAATTTCACGCGATACAGAAAAAAACAAAAGCAAAATATTTCTGGTATGATCTATAATGAATAGAAAGATGAAAATTAAACAAATTTTTCTTTGTTTTTACCTGTACGATGAATTCCTATGACTGATAAATAAATACTTATATCTAAACGAAGAAAAAAAAATAGATTAAATTATTCGTTGGATTTAATCTATAAATATAAAGAATAGATGAATAATTGTAAATTCTACACTATTGAATTTTAACAATACAACTTAACATTTAAAATACCTTGTGAAGTAAAATTTAGATGAAGCTAAAATAGTTTCTAATTCTAAGAACAGAAAATAAATAAATAAATAAAATATTGTTGATTTTTATCTTAATGATGTATATATAATCATACATATAAGTCGATTAGATATAAATAAAGAATTATTTAATAATATCAGAAAGAATAAAAATAGTATGATTATTATTCGTCTCTTTTTACATATTCCGAATTAGAAAACATTTCTAAATAGTTTTTTTTCAAAACGAGAACATTTCATCTAAAATTGGGTAAAAATTGAGAAAATGGGTCAAATTGAAATAATGAAACTTTTTATTAATTAAAACTCATTCATTGTACATAGAATGGTTGTTTGCATAAAGTTATCTGTAAATAGTGATTTAGTGATCAAATGTTGAGTATTATCAGCTTATAGAATTCCTGTGTAGCATAGAGAGCTTGAAACCAAAGGAACTTGTAGAAATCTAGTTAATCTAACGATTCAAACTATGAATCATCGCTTGATTGACTAATAAAACAATTACACAGTGCCATCTATCAATTATTCTATTCGTGAAAATTTTCCAAGCCAATCAAATGAAGGGGATTCATTCGAACTGATTGATTGTTCTTCAGCTTGAAAAAAAAACGTCTTTTGCTTTTCAAAAGTATTTACAAAAAAAAACAATTATTTGGTTTTGCAGTCAGTTTCAGTTTTATCTCGAAAGAAAGTTGATTGAAATGATAAATTTATTTATTATCATTAATAAAAAAAAAAAGAATAAAATTAAAGTATAAATTTGTGTATTAATAAAGAAAACCGCTAGACTTGAATGAATTCATTTCCATTAGGAAATAATGAAATCAATTTTATTTTAGAATAAAATACTGAATTTGATTTGTCGTAATTCAATCCTAAATAAGTTTCATTTCAAAAAGAACATAACGATACTGATTTGTTTTACTATAATTATCGCTAAATCCCTTTTATTAAAACAATTTCACTATAAATAAAACACATTAATATCTGCTCAATTCAGGATAAAACGAGTACTAATAATGAATGAACTTTTTTGAAAAGGGAACATGAAAATCATGTTAATCTTGTTTTGGAATTGAGAAAAGTTCTGCTAAATTTTTTTGTTTAAATGAAAATACCGGATTGAAATCCATTTCAAATAAAAATAAAGCTGCATGTATAAACTCATTCAAAAGTATTAATGCATCTACATTTGAAAGTAAATCTAATATTTGATCGCGTGTATTTGATTGTTTGAATTAAAAATAAAATTTTTTAGGATTAGCAAATGAATTTTCTGTGTTGATGAAACAGTAATTCAGACTTCTGGTCCACATAGTAGAAGTATTTTCGAATAAAAATTATGCGAGAAGATAGGGCTTGTCGAGATGTATTTGTAAACTGCACTTGCCAATTCGAAACTATTCCTGGCCGTATTGGGACTGGTTTTGCTAAAACCATCTGCAAAATGCAGGTCTTAGGCGTGATTTAGGCCAAAGGAAGCAATATATGAAAAAACTGAGACGTACATTCGATAGAGCACGTTGAGTTGTACCTGGAACCGGAGCGGTTCACTTGGAAACTTCTCCTGGCCGAATCGCGACGGTTTTTGCTAAAACCTTCTGCTAAATGCAGGTTTTAGGCCTGATTTAGGTAAAAGGAGGCAATATTTGAAAAAACTGAGACGTACATTCGATAGAGCAGGTCGAGTTCTGTCTGAAACCACAACGCCTCACTTGGAAACTTCTCCTGGCCGAATCGCGACAGGTTCTACGATTGTTTATTGCATTTTGCACGTGTTTTTTGCAGTAATTCAGGTTTTCTGGCTGAATAGAAGGGGATTTTCGAAAACTAATCGTTTCAATCTGATAGAGCTTCTCAAGATGTACTTGGAAACTGCGTGTGGCAATTGGAAACATTTCCTGGCCGAATCGCGACAGGTAATAGTCGAATCCTGACCTAAGATATCCTACGTTTGTCGTAATTATCTTAATAAGTTTAGTTTTTCCTGATTGCGAGTGGGCTTGATTCAAAAGATGTAAATCTTAGATTTATCTATCTTTGAACGTGCACCCGGG